GCTTTGTCTCTCAAAAGAAAACTCAAGCACACATTTTTTTTTTAAGGTCTCAGTTTTTTATGATTTTTAATTATTTAAAAAGAAAAAAGAAAAAAGTTCAGATCTTGAGATAAAACAGTAATTGGGAATTATCAGGAATCTTTAGTTTAAGTTGCTTTATCTCTGAATGACCCAGCTTACGCTCAGTTTCTGTATAAATCCTGAGCAATCTGACTTCATTTGGACAACATTAAATACAGATGTGGATGCTTTAAAGCTGGAGGATGAGTTTAGCCGTCTGCAGGGGGAATCTGTTTTGGATCACAGGAAAACCACCCACTGACCCGCTATCACATGCCTCAAACAGAAATATTAGCTGAATATGTGGTTTAAAAAATGCTTTCTTTAAACAGCACTGTTAAATTCATGCACTGCTGCTGGCAAACGTCTTTTGAAATGTTTATAATTTAGGAGCTCTATGGTGAAAGACGTTTTCAGCGGCTCTTTTCTGGGATAGTCGTCAAAGGGCCGTCCTGTGTGGATTACCAGAATACTCAGTCAAGTAACATGTGTTTTTGTTGTCAGGGTTGATTGTAGATTGTATTCTCCAGAAATGCAAAGTTTATCATTCACATTCAATAACTTTACAGGCTCATTAAAGGGGAAAACCGTTTTTTTTTTTTACATTGGGCCCTTGATTTTACGTTATTACATCATGTTCTACTCACCCATATTAGTTTTGTATCATCTGTTCCTAAGATATTCAGTTTTGTTATATCCAAGTAACATCTTCCTATGGGCAAACAACTTGAAGGCACAAACTAAGCAGTTCATAATTTATTCTTTATGGTACGCCAGCATTTATAACATGCAGGCGAATCACTGTCATCCGCAGACATCCGCGGTTATCCCTATAATGCCGAATGTATCATATTTGATACATACGGTTTCTGAAATGTTTTGCGTCTGACACCTTTTGCATAATTTAATGGTAAAAACTTTGCTCAAAATCCTATTGTTCACAATCAGATATACCTGATAACAGCCAGTAGAAGACTACACAAAAAATAATCTTGACTTATCGCATAGAAATACATTATTAATATCAAAAATGCATTTCTGTTTTTTCTTTTTACATATTTTGTTAAAAGTGCAAATAAGGACTTCAAACCAAAAAAAAGTAATTTTCTGTTTTGTTTTATTCTTGGATCAGGCTTTAAAGGGTTAAATTATTTATATTTATATTTTTTTAAAACAAAGCAGAGTGTGTATGACGTCATCCGAGTGCGCCGGCTACCGTTCAGTCATCCTGTCCGCTAAACTGCTGCTAGTTTTACTCACATGCCTGGAAGATGTCTAGTGCTGCTACCACAGATGATCTCGCACTCCAAATGGAATTGAACGATTCAGATTAGCTAGAATTAATAGAAGGGGTAGAGCGTAGCCGCCTGTGGCCCGGGCTGCCTGTCACAACTACATTCCGGCGCACGGATGATGTCATACACACTCTGCTTTGTTTTAAAAAAATATAAATATTAAAAATATAACTGCTGATGTCTGGGGGACAGTGATTCGCCTACATGTTAAGAATGCTGGCGTACCATAAAAAATAATAAATTATGAACAGTTTAGTTTGTGCCTTCAACTCGTTGCCCATAGGAAGACGTTACTTGGATTACAAAACAGAATATCTTCAGAACAGCTCCAAATGACACAAAAATAATATGGGTGAGTAATACATGATGTAATAACGTAAAATCAAGGGGCCAATGTGAAAAAAAACGGTGTTCCGCTTTAACATTAGGTAGGAGCATTTAAAACGGTCCATTTGTAGCTAAGTAGGCCTGGACTCATGTTAGAGCCAGGTCTAAACAGGCCCAGTGTTTCCTAAACCTGTTTGGATCTCGTTCACACCTGTATTTATCTCTGTCGACGTGTGATCAGATAGGGCAGGACACCTGTTAGCACCACGTCGGAACAACCCCCAGGTTATGTACATAAAAAGGGTCAGAAGGTGTGATCGTTCTGCCTCTGGCTTACTCTGCATGTGCTCAGAAGGGCAGGGAGGGAGCTGGTTCAAAAGCGCTCCTTGAGCTTTTCATTTCATGCCTGTTTCCCACGGGGCTACATGGAGATACATGAACTTTTTCTCCTCTGATTGCTGCAGAGTTTCGGGCTAATATGTGACTCGGTTGGTCTTGGCTTTACCTCTTCTGCAGTTGTGTTCGCATCGCTTGTTTTGATGAGTCGTAGGGAAACAATCCCTCATTAATTTTGGTTCGATGCCCTGAAAAAGATGCTATCAGTTTAAGGAAACCGGTCGAACTTTTGTTTCATCTTCATGGAATTAAAGAGCAGTTTACTGTTGTGGTTGATTGATGGCATTTCTTGGAAAATCTCTCAAGCCGGTTACCTCTGGTGCTCCAGGCATCCGAGGAAATCTGTGTGGATTTTTTTTATTCACCTTACAGCTTACCTCCGCTCTCTGTGCTTTCATTATTGCAGTCCACCAGTAATGTGTGGATGACCCATGCAGAGATGGAGTCTCTGAACGCCACCACCAAGCCTCCGGTTAGTGCTCCAGCCGTGTCGTCTTCTGTCTGATTCCCATTTTTATGATTAAAATGAATAATGTTGAGCGTCTGGTCCTGTCTGAATCATGTTGATGAGTCTCTCCCCTTCCTCCTCTTCTTTCTCTGTATTTATTCCTCTATCTGTCTGTCTCCTCTGTGGGCCCAGGCCATAGTGTTGAGCATCTTCGTCTCTCCCTGTGGTTGCTGTTTCTATGTGAACTGCTTCAAACTAATTACCCGTTCACTAACACACTGTTCCTCACTTTTGTCCTCTTTTCCCGCTGCTGCTGCTGCTGTGACCTCTCCCTCTTCTGCTTCTCTTAATTCACCCTTCCATCCATCCACACCGCTTTTGACCCCTGCCTACCTTTTCCCCCACCGATCCACTCGCTCCGTCTTTCTCTCTTTCTGCCTCGTCTTTCCTCTTGGCCTTTCAGGAGCTAAAGGAATTCAGCTGGGATCAGGTGAGAACTGAATCTTTTTTTTTTTGGTCAACCTTTTGATAAAGTAAAAAAATGCACACAACACTCTGCCTATTTGACAGTCCCTTCATCTACAGTGAGTCATGAGCGCTCAGACATAAAATATGAAGTGTGAATCAACGTCGATCATCTGCGCTTGTCCCCCTCCAGATACTGGCCTACGGTGATATGAATCATGAGTGGGTGGGCAATGACTGGCTGCCCAGCCTGGGCCTCCCCCAGTACCGCAGCTATTTCATGGAGTCCCTAGTAGACGCTCGCATGCTGGACCACCTAACCAAGAAGGAGCTGAGAGGACAGCTGAAGATGGTAGACAGCTTCCACAGGTAGAACGTTTTCCCAAACATTTACTGCTGCCTTTTGCAAAGAATGGTGAAGAAAGGTTTATTTTATTCAGCAATTCATCCACATTTACTTCAGTTCATTTTAATGATTTAGTCTCACAGCCAAATAAGAGCTGAATTTCAGTTTAGAGTGGAGGTCTTCAACGGGGGTCGACGGAGGTACTGCATGGGGTCGCGAAAGTTTTTGTTGATTAGCCTTTTTTTTTATATTCCCCCCTGCAATTTCTTCCACTAATTGAAATGTCTTTAAATCCACATTAACATGAATTCAACACATTGTAGTAAACAGATAAATGGAGGCAGAAGATGTCTTTCAGTCAGTCATCAATGCACACATTCAGCGACACACAGGAGCTCTTTCAAGCTGGGCACCGTTTCATTCACAACACCTGTCCCATCAACCAGGAATCAGAATCAGAAATACTTTAATAATCCCAGGAAGAAATGACTTTCGTTACAATACTCCATATTTAATAGAGTGACTATAGGACATGTGTGATATAACACAATTTCATGCAATATATATACTTAGAGGGTCCCCACTCCATCTCGTCATCAGTTTGGGGGTCCTTGGCCTGGAAGACATTGAAGACCCTGGTTTAGATGAGAGGTTTAAAAAAATAAATCCTTTTTTTTTTTAAACAGAACGATATTATGGATAGCTTTTCGTTCAATAGTGTGGAAAAAAAAATTCTGCTTTGAAATTAAGTTTTACATGAAGTAAATAAAATAATGTTTTCCATTTATGTTTTTTTTTATATTAACAGAGAAATCTATCCAGACATACCTGGTATGATGTGAAAAATATGATTGCCCCTTTTTAAATCATATGAACTCTGATTAACCCCCCCCCCACCACCCAAAACAAAAACCTTAATCAGAGTTTTTTTCCTTTTTTTCTGCTTTGGCATTAGTTCGCTTTAGTGACAGGAAATGGACAGGGACAGAAGGAGGAAGGACACGTACCAAAGGTCTTTAGGTCAGGAGTTGAGACATGATGGTCGTGACGCTCCCATGCCTGATCCACTGCCTCGCTTTCAGAATCAATAATTAACAATCAGAACCTGTTTGACATCTTGAGTACACCTTCTGCAGTCAATCCTATATAGTTAAAGGCAGCTGAGAAATAAGGTCATTGACGTCTATCAGTCTGGAAACAGTTATAAAGTCATGTTAATGCTTAGGGACTCCAAAAACCACAGCGAGAGCCATTTTTCACAACTGCTGTGGACCAAAACCAACACAAACAGCTGTCTCAGATTTCCAAGACTTCTAGGAAAATAATCTTTTTAACAACGAGAAAAAAGTGGAACTTTTTCTGAAGTAGAAAACAAACAGTTTTAGCAAAGCAACATCATGCCAACGTGGTATCAGGGGACCTCTAGGATTCGCTGTTGAAATTATGAAGTCTGTTTTCTAGCAAAAGATCCTGATCTGAATGTCCCTAAGCTCGAGCTGCAGCAGGATAGTGATACATATATAGGCTGCTCAGTGGCGCAGTGGGTAGCACTGCTGCCTTGCAGCAAGAAGGTTCTGGGATCAATTCCTTTCTGCATGAAGTTTGTATCATGCTCTCCCTGAGCATGCGTGGGTTCTCTCCGGGTACTCCAGCTTCCTCCCACAGTCCAAAAACATGACTGTTAGGTTAATTGGATATATATATTCAAATAAAATATCTTTGATGAAGCGAATTAAGTTGAAACTGACTCCCTGATTTATTAAGATGTACTTTTTAAACCTTAGTTGTTTATTTTTCAACCCTCAAACTTACCAGCTGTTGCTTGGCTTTGTGGTGACAATTGACTGCTAGGAGTAGGATCAGATTAAGGCTCTCTGTCAAAAGCTTTGAGTGCTTCAAAGATTAAAAGCGCACCCCTAAGTAACCAGCTTGAACCCGTTTAACCCTCTTGCTCTTTTGACCTTGCCCAGGGTGAGTTTGCATTATGGCATCATGTGCCTAAAGCGCCTGAATTACGACCGCAAGGAGCTGGAAAGGAGGAGAGAGGACAGCGTCCACCAGAATAAAGGTAATCTTTTATGTCATTTTGCTTCACCCTGTTTGCTGGAACTTACATCCGTTGTTGTATTGCTTGAACCTTATTTTAATAATTCTGAAGGCTTACTCTGAGTAATATAAATATACTAAATGAGGTAATCAGTTTTACAACATCAATAAGCATTTCTTTGTAATTTAGTATTTTTTTATTTCTCACTTACAAATTTATTTTCCAATATTTTTATCAACATCAATAAAAGATGCTGTAGTAAGTAATTTACCTAATCGGGATTTATATTATTAGATATTGTTTACATCTGTGTGATATTTAAAGAAGTAAAAAATAAAAAATAAATCACCAAAACCTAAATGCTTAAAATTGCTAAATTTTCACGAACTTTAGTAACTACCAAAAAATCCATAAAGGGAGACTTTAATAGGAAATTTAACTTTGGAATTTTATTTTATTTCAACTTAAGTCTCATTTCATCAACAGTTAATTATTTTTGGATGCTAACTGCTAATGTCAATCAAAAGGGGGAAGGAAATAAATCTTTGGAACCAGTTTTTTTTTCTCTCTTAGCGTCTTTTACCAGAAGGCCACTACAAAAAAAAGAAAAGAGATTTCCTTCTTTGTGATTCTGAATCGGGCTAATGGTTCATTCATAGACCTGTCTCAGGGTTCCACATTTTTAATTAGGGAACTCGTTAGGTAAGAAAGTTAAATAGTCCTAAAGGAAACCACTTCTGACAATGAACATATCTTGTTCAAGGATGAAAAACAGAAAGAAAAATATAGGAAAACATGGCAAAGTATTTAGAAGAAACCAAGATTTTTTTTTTTTTTTATCTGAATCTTGCTGAATGATCAGACCTGCTTCTGAACTTTTTCTGTATATGTAAATTTAAGATTTCTTTAAGAGTTATCATTATGTCTGATTATCCAGAGTGGTCATTGCTTATTTAATAGTAAGAAAAATTGAATAAAAGTTTTCACTCAAGCTATTGCTGCAGATTTAAGTGTCTCCAGGCTTTTATACAATAATTTATATATGATAATTGAATAATAAAAAGACAGATTCAGTGTCATCTTCTAACACAACTGACAACATTAAAAACTATAATTGTTGCTTATTTTCTCACTAAGTGAGCTCTTTTTTTCTTATTAAAAGATTGCAAATCATATTTGATTGAATTAAAGATGCCAGGTACGACATTTACAGTAGAATGGTCTTCTATCCTGTCAATCCAACATCATAAAAATAGTATTTAAGATCAGGAAGAGAGGCAGGTCTGGCCAAACCCAACATCTGTCAAGGACGTTCTGAAGGTAACTGAATAAAAGCAGGTGTTGGGTAGTCATGGTTACAACATGTGGTGATTTAAAATCTGTAAGGCAAAAATCGTTTCTGCTTAAAGAAACTTTAATCTCTACTCAAGCTGAGCTACAGCAGTTGATCCTGATGTTTAGAAAGTTGAAATAAACTGAGGCCGCCTGTCCTTCCTACCCAGATGTGATGGTGTGGTCCAATGAGCGTGTGATGTGCTGGGTCCAAAGCATCGGTCTGAAGGAGTACGCAGACAACCTCCGAGAGAGTGGAGTCCATGGCGCTCTGCTGGCTTTAGATGACACTTTTGACTACACTGACCTGGCCCTGCTGCTACAGATCCCCAATCAGAACACACAGGTGATGGACCTACTGGCCCAAGCAATGGCACGCTTTTTATCCAGAGGCATTACTCACTGCAGAACTGCACCAAAAGAATTTAAACACCAAGTCAAACAACAATTTATTATGATATATTATAATTTATCATATTATAAAGTGTTTCCTCTTACTATCATATTGAGATTAGATACTGGGATTAAAACAATTTTCTCTCCATCTATATCCCCTTTAGCCATAACCCTTATACCGGGGCAGCCTAAACAACCTATATCAAGAAAAAATTCATTGGACTTTAGGGTGTCTATGTGTGCTAACATCTTTGTAGGTTGCCATAGTAACTTCTATTTGTTCCATGCCAAATGACCTAATAGATATCCAGAAAATAACCTTTAACTATAATACCTTACAAGTATGTCCATTGACACCCTCTGACTACTCTATTAGCACTCGGTAGGTGACTTGCATAGGTATCCATACCTCAGTAGGTATGGATACCATAGTGGTATTCCATACCTTAGTGGTATTCAGTATTTTCTTGCTATCTGGAAAAATCTTTTGATAAGTGACAGGGTAACAGTTGCTGGTAACTCTTAAAGCCTTTATAGGCATCCTGTAGGAACCTCAAGAAGTACCCTATAAGTACCTTTGTAGGTACAACAAAACTATCCTGTAGTTGACCTAAAAAAAACGAATAGCTACCCATTAAATACTCAATGTATTCATATAGACGATGTAAAGGAACTATCTAAGTACTCTTTAAGGGGCTCTGTAAGAACCTGTGGGCTACCCTGAAGGTCTAGTGGTGTGGAGTACCTCAGGGCTGAATATTTGGCCCATTTCCATTCTTATTAGTGCATTTCCGTTTGGAATATTTCTCAACATATTATAAAGGCTTATTTGTTGTGCTGGTGTTATAGAGCTAGTACCTAATGCTAGGTAATCTTTGAGTTGTTGAAAATGGGGCCCTATCACCCAAAAAGGGAGTAAAAAAAGAAGAACTTGATAAACATTTGTTTTTCATTTTAGAAATCATGGTATTGCTTCCAGAAATTTGGGTTAGAGTTTTATTTTAGTGAATTGTATAAACAGTCATTTACATGTTCAAGGAATTTAGAGCTTTTGTGATTTCTTTGCAGGCCAGGCAGGTTCTGGAGCAGGAGTACAACTCCCTAATATCCATGGGAACTGAGAGACGACCTGATGAGGTCAGAATTTTTTATAAAGTAATGAAGGCACAAGTTTGTATGAGTATCTGTGTTTTTGTGTCACTCATTCACTGTCATTCTGGGCAGGATGGAACAAAGACGTTTACCCGCTCGCCCTCCTGGAGGAAGATGTTTAGGGAGAAAGACCTCCGAGGTGTGACCTCCGACTCTGCCGAGACGCTGCCCGCAAATTTCCGTGCCTCAGCCATTTCCACCCCCTCCGTTACCCTGAGAAAGGTTCAGAGCGATGGTGAGTCTGACCTTTGACTTCTTGACACTTTAGCTCTCATGTTAAACCCATCCTCGAGGCTCATCAGGTTTTTAAAAGCTTCTACTTTATTTTTTGAGTTTAACTCACAAAAAGCGCATGTCAGCAATCAGGGCAAGTAAAGTCACTACATGCTGTATGGGAAGGCTAAATGTAAAACCTGTTTTTTATGCTACTCTGCTATTAGCTCTAACCTTATTAGTTCTAACTTCCTCCTTTAGCAGAACTGACAATAACAAGGTGCAGACTCCTCAAAGTACACAGGAATGCTATAATACCTCCTTTAATACCTCTAGAAAGGTCAATGCTGTTACGATAATAACCTTGTGTGTCTGTCTCCTGGTTTCCAAAGCAGCCAGCTCTGGTGCCCGGGGTGAATCTGCCTCAGTGAGGACGTACTCCTGTTGAGCTGCTGAGGTGAGAACACGTCAATTAAACAGCCTTAACAGGGTTACTCCTGCGTGTGGGCGCTGACTTCTGTGCTTATGGCTTCCACATGTGTCGGGCAATGCTCTTTGAACTCTGTTTTATGCATATGTTTGCAGTAGTTGACTTGTTTTAGTCTGGGATTTTAGTACATTCCCCTGAGGTCTTAGATTGTGGTTGGTTTAGATTTACAGTTGCTGTCAGAGATTTATGTAATCTTGTCTTGGGCATTTATGTTAACATTAAATTTGAGCTTTAAAAGATTTACCTCTTGCTAAAGCTAAACATTAGCATCATCAATTCTCTTTTTTAGGTGGAGTTTATGGTGATAGAAGAAAATGTAATGCTTCCCTTGCAACAAAATGTTTGGTGCTCAAGCTGGGAATTATTACAGCATTTTGGATGAATATTTGACCAATCTAAGCAGACTTGGTGCCGTTCACTTTGTTGCATGAACCACGGCTTTAAAGTTGTAGAGAGATCATATTTTATTGTCAACTCATACTGGCTTAAACGTTTACATAAATGTACTCTTTATCAGATATTGTCACAAAACTTAGAAAATTTCTGTTTTAAAAAAAAATCCTGCCTTAAAATCTGCTTTGTTTTGTTTTTTTTTCGTTATCATTAAGTTATACGTCAGCCTGGACACCTAAATTCGGCCAACCATATATCAACGGTCATCTGTCAATAAAATGTTTTTGGTCATAGCATCTTGATTCATATGTCGCAGCTAATATACGCAACGGTTGAAATAAGATATAAGACTCATTTACTTTCCCATTGAGTTCCGACCACGGGGATGGGCGTCTGTGTCTACACCAAACCAAGCTTCTGCCGCCCTGGCGTCCTCTTCCACAACAACTTCGTGCCTGCTTTCCTCCTCTAAATAAAAAATGTATGACAGAGGAGACTCATCCGTGATCTCCAAAACAAACCCTCCTCCTCTTGCGTGTTTCCACTGACCATAGCGTTCCTTGACTGTGTCGTTTCTAAGTCACCAATTTAGCGCTACTTGTTTAATTTCCCATTGGGAACCTACTAGCACTAATTTGCTAACTGGTTAGCAAGATGCCCTTGAAACACCGGCCACAACCAAAAGTGCTTGCGAACCGTCCACCACAACAACCCTGCCCTCTTGATAAACGGCCAATCAAATTCACTTCATTCACTAGTGTAAAGTCGTGCACAACTCGGGAGAATTCGGAAATGCAACAGTTAGAACGTCCATTTGCCTTTGACATTAAGGACTCTGCACAAACTTTGAGTAAAGTCAAAGTTTGTGTTTTGAGGAGCCTATTCCAGAAGTGAACGTTTAGCCATTTAGTGAATGTTTGGTATCATTGTTCTGTTAAAATATCCAGTTGTGTCCAGGTCTCAGCTGTCCTACCTGAACTTTTCCCATTTCTAAAAGATTGATTGGAAAATACAGAAAGAAGGCAGGAACCAGACGCAGAGGTCTTCTGGAGGGTTTTGGTGTCAGGTTACAAGAACTAAAGTATTTAGAGATAGTGATAAGAAATACAGATTAGTCATTGTGGCATTCTAACTTAAGGTTATAGATCGTTATGGTTGCAACCTGATGCCTTACTTGATGTCAGTTGGATGGTCTTGGAGGAAATCCTTGAAAATAAGGCCAAGTTTTATGTTTCTTTCAATAATTGACCAAAAAGAAAAGGATTACTCTGTCTGACATCAAAGTCCTGACTAACTTACTGATGTTTCTCTCCTCAGGGCTCCAACTGGTTTGGGACTGAAGGACCCTCTCACTCATCAATGAAGAAGGAAGCAATGACTTTACTATTTAACCTAAAAGTAAACCTGGCCATTCTGCAATAACAGTAGCGAAGGAAGAAAAAGGGGAAAAAGACATGAAGAATGTATAAAACAGTTCTCAGATTTAGCAATTTGAATCGGATCGGCTGTTTTCTCTCTCCGTCTGTCCCTCCGCGTCCTGCGTTGTCGGGTGACTAAAGGACAACGCCGGCGGTGGTTAGGCCAGTGCAGTCAGTCAGCCAAGGGTTCATTTTCCCACCTTCTGATGATAACCTCCCTCTGCCGTTTATCGTCTTACACTTTCAAACATTTGAACCCCCGGCTCCACAACAAGGACTATGCCGGAAACCAAACGCATTGTTATGGTGGGATTCAGAGGGTGTTCAAACTGTAAAGCGATTCTGGGAGACAGATAGATGTGTCAGATGCGACACTGGTGCTCCTTTTTCCACTGGTGTCCAGTTTCAGCCACCGTGGCCCTTTTTGTTGGCCTCTACGGTCCCCACCAGGATCGGGTGGAGTGGTTTAACTCTTCTGAATTCAGACCACCATTTATGTCCAACCACATCAGAGGTCTATTGTCTTTTGGCACCTTGAAAGGAGATAGTGCTCTCTTTTGAAGAGGAATCAAAGGATTACAATTGGAGGGAGCGAATTTGCTCTGCATCAGGAAATCAGTTTTAATACAGATGGTACCAGATGCTTTTACTGGTTATCTTCAAAGTATTTCTTTTATGACCCTTCAATTAAATTTTTTAAACTCCATCTGAGGGGAATTTGTGTAAAATAAAACCTTAAATAGACTATTATTTAGCTGCAGTAGCACATCCAACTTAACAATTAAAAATCCAATATTCTATTTTCTTCCCCTGCAGAAATAAATACTGGTGTGCCATGGATCCTCTTTGAAATAGGAAAAACTAGAAAACATGCCATTTAAATAAGATACATGTTGCTTGAGCCTTATAAGCCTAAACCTGCTTGTACAAAACAAGTGAAACTGGGATAAAACCAGTTTGTTTCATAGCCACACCCAGTGAGCAGAATGGTCTCTAAAAGTACCAATACATGCAGTAAAAAGTTGCGTCTTGGGGTGGGGTTCCACATCTCGATAGCAACCGTTAGTTGACATCTGCATGCCAACTAGCTGTTTGAGCATTATTGTGTTTTTTCTGCCATCTTATAACAACTTGAAGATAATAGCTACAAGTTTAACTCTACCAGGCCAGTAAGTGGGACCATCGCCCGCTCTGGTTCTGTTTGGTTTGCGAGCCGGTTGCCAGGTCTGTTGATGCTAATGCTTAGCTTTAGCAAACATTTGAGTTGCCTCCAGAATGAAAGCGGCAGACAGCTGAAGAACATCCGAGACATTTTGTGGATAAAAACTAAAACGTTTAAACTCCCATGGGAGCTTTTTCATGCAACCCTTCCTGTCTGCACTTCATACTGTACCCATTGATAAACATGGTGGACGACACTGCAGGACATCTTTCTCTTCAAAATATCAAAAGTTTTGAAATAGAAAATTGTAGGAGCTCCAGCATTAAACTGAAAGTAGTTTTTTTTTTTGGCCAAATCCACTCAAAAAGGAAAGTCTCTTTAAATCCTCTCATCATAGGCTACTTCGATTAAAAACTATTAAAAAAATGTTACTCATCTTTACCATGGTTGGCAAGCGTAGCTTTGTTTAGGAGAACTTACTGAAGTAAAAGTAGAGCAACTCTAGGATGTACACTCTTTTTGATATGTATATATATATATATATTGCTCAATACAAAGACATTGAAAGCAAGTAAGTTTTATATAGAATAACAAATGAAAAGGAAAAGTTATAGCAGTATTATTATTTCTGAAAGGAAACTCGGGACAAAAGAACTAAATATTTCCTAGAGTTACTTCTATAAAAAGGACGTGAAACTGATTAGTAAAAAGTTTTATTTTTTTTTTAGCTCTCTTTACTATATTTTTGATTTATTCTTTAATGTCGTTTTGTTTTGAAACAAAATTTTAGCTTCTTACGTAATTAGATGGCTCCAATTGTGACATTTGAGCCATCTAATAAAAAGCTTAATTACTGGAAATTTAAACATGCCTTATTTAAATATTTTAAATATTTATGTATTAGTTGATAAATTAGTTGGATTTTTTCCCAAAACGTAGGTTGATTCGGTGGATGAAAAAGCAGTGGCCTGGGGCTTCGCCTGGGCATCAGATAAATAAATAACAGTTTAAATGTTATTTAATGTATGTCTTATTAGGGCAACATAGAAAAAAAAATCAAGAATTTATAAATAAGTAACGGACATATTGACTGTTGCTGGGGTTTGTTCTGTTATTTCGCCCCTATATACTTAGAGTTTATAGCTACAGTACAGTTTGAACTTCTGGCCAGTAAATGCTGCTCTCACAATCAGCTCTCATTGTGTACTGCTTGCACACCAATTGTCAGGACAGCTAATGCTAATGATACCAATGTCAAAAATTTCATTTTCATTTCATCCATCCATCTTACCCCCTTATCCGGGGTCGGATCTCGGGGGCAGCAAGTTCAGTAGGGAGGCTCAGATGTCTCTCTCCTCAGCCACTTGGGCCAGCTCCTCCAGAGGAACCCAAAGGCGCTCCCAGGCCAGCCGAGAAAGATAGTCCCTCCGGCGTCTCCCCCTGGGCCTCCTCCAGGTAGGACGTGCCCGGAACACCTCACCAGGAAGACGTCTAGGATGCATCCTAAACAGATGCCCGAGCCACCTCAACTGGCTCCTCTCGATGTGGAGGAGCAGCGGCTCTACTCTGAGTCCTCCCCGGATGACTGAGCTCCTCACCCTATCTCTAAGGGAGAGCCCAGAAACACTGTAGAGAAAACTCATTTCATCCGCTTGTATCCGGGATCTCATTCTTTCAGTCATGACTCAAAGCTCATGAGCATAGATGAGGGTAAGAACATAGATCAGCCGGCAAATCGAGAGCTTTGCCTTTTGGCTCAGCTCTCTCTTCACCACAACAGAGAAGTGGAAACCTCAGTGTGCCTTCTGAGCTCCTTTGCTTTCTAAAGTCGGCACCAACTCTTAAAACCTCGACAGATGTTCACCCTTGTTTTGCTTCTTTTTCAGTTGTCTTGAATCTGAAAATCTTGAATTTAGAAAAAAAATGTATTTCAGTGAAGAAAAAAAAACACTTTTTTCTGCTCCACTCTAGATATTCTGTGGATTTATTACTTTTATAGAAATTTGTAGTTTCAATGAAAAAGTTGCAGGTATGATCCTTAATCAATGGCTGAAGTCACGACTGTTTTATTGGAAGCAGAGGCGTTTTGGAAACAGATTTATTTCAATAAGCAAAGCCGTATGTGTATAAAAGGGTCAACTTTTTATGAAGGGAAGTTGATTGTTATAAGATGTGCTGGATTGTTTTAACCGTTAAAGAATTGAAACCTTAAGCGAGCTTTTAACTATTCAGCTTGGAGCTTTTTGATCCTCCTGATGCAAACGGAGCCGAACGGGAGACAAAAACAGTCGATCCGAGAGGAAGAAATAGGAAAAGGAAGGTGGACAGAAGCCGGTCATTTTACTGCACACACAAGCCATAACAGAAAGGAAGAGCTCTCTGGGGAGGAGGAGACATTAGAGAGAGGGCAGCCTGAGGAAGCCCAGAAAACAAAACCTTTAGCCTCTGTGTTTACGATGCATGTCCAGTAACGACAATGACCTAAAACAAAATGTTTTTTTCTTTGTTTTTTTCTTTGGTAATGAAGATGATATGAGGTGTCGTCGAAACAAAAATATATATCTCTATGCTAAACCTACAGGGTGGGGTGGGCTGAGGGGGGGTAACTGGGGGGAATCAAATTTGTAAGATGTGTGTATTTTTTTCAGTTGTATTTTATTATTTTTTTTACGATAACTTTATTTTCTTCAGGTATGTATTGGATAAATGTCTGAACTTGTTCGGTTTCGTTCTTTGCTTCGTTTGGACGAGTTTCAAGAGTAAATATCAGACATTGGAAAAAATGTCCTTCGAATACGTCGATGTGTACATTTTGAAAACAACTTGTGCAACAATTAAACAGATTTCCATGATTCCAGTGTCAGAAAATATCTGAAAATATCAACAAAGAAATAATATCAGTGATGATGATGAAAATGGTGATGTAAAAGAAAAAAATAAATAAAGCAATCCAGGTGGATTTATGAATAATAACGCAGTTTGTTCTTTACTGGGGGGGGGTTCAGGACTTTTATGAATTATCCTCTGAGTGCAAAGAGGCTTTTATATTATTATGCAGACTGAGCACATGCCGATTAATTAAATTTTAAAGATTTGCTCATGTAAGAAGAGGTCCTTATAAGGGAGAGGATGTTTCATTTGTCAGCATACTCGCATAAGCTCTGATGTAGCTATGAAGTTGAAATCACTCTATAAATCTGTAATTTATTGTCTTCTTGTATCAGCAAAGATTACCTGCAACCGTCATCCCTTCTTAGCAAAGCATCCAGCCAAGAATCACTTCTCTGGGTCTTTAACAAGATATAATGATGGACGCTTCAGGACATCCAGCTCCGCTGAAGCTGCAGAATGGTTTGCCACCAGTTCAGGGCAGAGGAATCGTCTCTTTTTCAAAGATAACTAGAAAACTAACATTTAATACTGTTGAGCTTTTCTCAAATGAAATTATTCTGAAAGTGCATATCTAAACCTGCTGTAGACCTACAGTACAGGTAAATTCCTCTGATGATTGTTTTGTTTGTTATCTGATCTGATTTTAAGCAAATGAGATAAACCATAGCAGCAACAAAATCAAGGTGGACTCCTGTGAACTTAACATATAAAATAACTGCAGTCTGAAGAGTTTCATTAAACTTTAAAAAGCCTTGTGTTGCCTTCCAAGTTTTGAAAAGGACATTTAAAGGCTGTCATGTGACACTTTAAGTCTTCTCAGCCTAATGCGTCTGTTTTGGCCCAGTTCTAGGTGTGAATGCATCTACTGTAAAGCAAGCAAAGAGATTTGGACTAGGAGACTTGGAAAGAGGCCACCTTTACCTCTGCAGTCAGCACAAAGATGGAAAATAGAAGATTGATTAGGGATTACTCTTTTCTTCTGATATATCCATATCTCCTCTTAAAAAAAATTTATTATCTTCAGGAGAAATAAGTTCAACTACAGGTTAACCTCTTTTATCTTCCTGATCTACTCAATAAAACGTAAAACATTGGATCAAAACATTTTGCAAAAAAAAAACATCCTTCTCCAACAGTCCAGTGACAGTTTTATTGGACGTTCCATTACAACTGAGCGCCCTCTGCAAAAAATATAAATCTCAGTAACTTAATTCACTTAAAATAAGTGCATTTTTCTTCAATTGAGCAGGTAAATGAGACACTTTGCCAAAGGAATAAGATAATATACATTTAGAATAAGAAAATAACGACTGCACTTTTATTTAAAGTGCATAATAGGAGAAACAGTTAAGGGTAAATATGCTTAAATTTTTACTCATTTCCAGAAAGTTTTTGCAGTGTTGCATGTGAAAAGGAAAAATGACGGCAAACAACAGAAGGTTTAAACCTTTCAAACTGGAAACTAGTCAGTAAAACTAACCATTGCCATCTCCAAGCTCTGGAAAAAAATAAGAATGTGTCACCATCTCCCAGGATTTGGACCAGAAGCTGATATCCAGTAAAACTCTTTAAACCAATAATGCATTTGGAAAACAGTCTTTAAAACTTACAAATTTTATCATTCTTCCTCGGTTACCTTTAAAATTTACCTGGTATAAACACTTAAAATTCTGGACCTTAGCAAAAATCATTTAAACATATAGTGGAGGTAAAAAAAAAAAAAATTAAAAAGTTCAACAGATTTTTTTATTATTCAGTAATTTATTAGAGTTTAATGCAAATATGTGCAAATAATGGTTCAATGTGTTATTGGTATTTTTAAGGCCAACATATTGATCTCAGTGTTTATTTTATTAATGTGATAATAAAAGTATTGCAGAACATTGTGGCAATATTCCAGCTATCAGATTAGTCAGAGGGGCGTGGCTTATGCTGCTATAGAGGAAGCGATCGGTTTGAACTGAAGTAGCTGTTATGATTAACCAATCACAGACCAGATCATAACAGGATTCTCTATCTGTGTAGCAAAGAAGATATTAAATTGTGTAATTCTTGTGATCTTTTTGGTCTTTGGTTTGTTTTAATAGAAAGATTGATGTATAGAGAAGTTTTCCTTTTTTTCATATAATGAAGTCTACATACAATGGAATGGAAACTAATGGAAATATGTCTGGTATTGATCTGAGCTCTCTGGCTGTTCAGGTTCATCAGAGAACAGGCCTGGCCTAAGAAGCTCTCTGCCAGCTGGTTTATGAACAACACTCTGTAGCCCCATCTGGATTCAGTTCATTCCTTAGTTTTAGGATCCCTCATGTTTTTGTTCGTACTCGTGTTCACTTTCTGCAGTCGTCTGTTGTGGTGATTTTCTGTGGATGTTACCACGAGCTCTGTTTACCTAATTCACATCTCCTGTTGCTTCTATTTTTTTTATTTGGTCACCTTCTAGTTGGAATCTCAGTTCATCATTTTAGGTAGGGCAATGTTTCTGATTGGTTTTGTTTTCTGGTTCCATGCTTCCCTGGTTCTCTCTACACTATTCACAATTTTTCTCCTATTTCCTTAACTTAACCTTGGTTACCTCAGGGCTGATAGTATTCTGCTAATTAGACCCATCTGTGCTCACCAGTAATCATACTTCCCAGTATTAAAGTCTCTCAGATCTTTATCAGCTGGATTCTCCTGTTGTTCTAGTTCTACTTCCTGTTTGGATAACATATTTTCATTTTGTTTAAACTTTGACTTGCCATGTGTCACTCTGTCTTTCTATCATTTTTTTTTCCAAAAGACAATAGTTTACAGAAAAAGTTATTGGAAGTTTAAAGGAATTATTTTGACGTTTTAAATGAATATGTTATGTGGAGCTCTGCAAGATGCTCAGTCATACAGGTCATAGTCATCCCAAAAAAAAAAAATCCACTGAATTTTGGTTTCAAGTTTGAGGACATTTCGCTTCCAATCCAGGAAGCTTTTTCAATTCAAAATGTCAGAATTAGCGTTGAGTTCGAGGATTTATAGAGTTAGAGTGGACCAAAACAATGCCTTGTTTTGGTTAAAAACATGCAAATTGAACCGCAAAAATGGGTCCGCCCCTTAGGAATAAGAAACGATTCCTTCCCGCTATAACAACCCCCATACAGAGGAACCGAAACACCCCCCCCCCCGTTCAGCCAGGCCAACAATTCCCCCTAACAACCCCCTTTTCAGAGGCATAGACCAGTATCGGGTATTGCAGGCTAACAAATAACCAAAACGACTCCTCATTCGTCGAACCCGTTCTTCCCGTTCAATTTGCACGTTTACTAAGCCAGGATTGGTTTTTGGACATTTCTGACATTTTGAAAACAAAAAGCTTCATGTAAACGAAGTCCATCGGATTGTTTTTTAACTTTTTTGGAACTTGCCCAGGTATGTATCTGAAGATGTGGATGACGATTAAAAAAAATATATAACACTAACTTAAAGGCATATTACAGTGAATAAAAACACAATGCAATGAACTCTGGGGATGAACCCTTCACCAAATCATGGGACTTTGATTGATTCCAGCTTGAGTGTCATCCTTTATGGTTTATCCCTGAAGCACATCTATCCAGTGGGATGAATGTTGTCTTGGTCCGATATATAGACTTTAATATTACAATTATTTGAAAACTTTTGAATAAAGAAAAAAAATAATATCATGTTATTGATCTCACACTGGAGAAATTTACCCCTGCATTTAACCCATCGTCTTGGGGAGCAGTGGGCTGCCATTATGCTGCGCCTGGGTAGCAGTGTGGAGTTAAGGGGTCTAGCTCAGAGACCCAGAGTGGAGGCTGTGGGGATCGAACCAGGTACATGCAACCCTCTCAGAGCACAAGCGCACTGCTCTAAACACTAGTCAAAAGAACATGGCTCTATAATTAGTTTATAATTACATAAGACTAGATAAACTCCTAACATTGCTGCATCATTATAAGATCAAGCCAGGTTTGTTGTATGGTTGCATACAAAGTCTTTCTGATTTAATTATTGCACCAAGATGGTTAATTATATCTTTTTTGTGTTTACACTTTGTTTTTGTTCTTTTGGGTAAATTGACCATAACAAGACCATGATATTACACTTGGGCATGATGAGTAAACAAGGAAGAGAACCAACAGGAGAAACAACTAAGCTACGTAAATCCATAACGAAGTGGAGGTACCGACAGAAAGGAAAAGGTTAAGATCAACTGTTAAAAACACTAAAGAAATATTTACTGCCAAGAACATTAAGACACAAGAAGCTCTGAAATTTACAATATGAGGCTGAAGCTGGAACTGATTTCGCTGTCGGCCAAATGGTGCTCAACCGTGTTTATGTCCGCTGACCACGCCCCTTCAAAAACCCTTTCATCAAAAAGGACTAAGTAAACACTATCGGGATGAATGCTTACTGTTTATTGTTCGATTTGAAAAAAAAAATAGGTTTTTCTATGTTTTCATAGTCGTCACGGTGCATGACTAGACATGTTTAAGGTCTTTGCACTAATTACCCAGTAATTTACTCCCACATTCCTTTAGTGTAAGCGATCCAGATCCCTGCAGGTCCTTCATCTGTGAAGCAACTTTCCCTGAGACCCAAGGCAGCTCAGACCACTTATGGTCTGAAAAACGATCTTTATAATAATCTGCAAGGTCTAGCTTGAATTCCTTCGTAATTTCACTTTATCTGAAGATTATCTGCATTTTTAATTACTTGTAGTTCAGCTCTCTGTGCATGAACATTTTTTATAAGGAGTAAATGATTTTTCAATGAAATTTGTTTAAAAATATGTCACTGGATTTTTGTATTTTTAATATTTAGTAAATGAATTATTAATGTATATATTTTAGAAAAGCATCTATAGTTATTCACAATTCTAAAATCTTTTATTAGATTACTCGTATATAAGTTTTTATACCACATATTTTATTCCTATCAAATCTAAGAATACATTATTATTTAATGAAAGCCATCACCACGTTTAGTCATTTCAATAATTTAGCAGCTATTCCCAGTTTGCATTTTAAAAGGTGCATTTTCTCCTACTTTAAAGAATCAAACAAACAAAAGATATTTTGAATATAAATGCATCAAAGCTGCACTTGAATAATCTACATACAAATTTCTTTTATTATCATATGTCATCAGATCTTCTCTAGGTGCCACATAATTTACAACCCAGGTGGGTCCCACAGAAGGAACCTGTAACATTCACCCACAGCTGTAAGAGTTAGGAGCAGGGAAATGGAATCTCAGTAGGTGGCGCTCTTTGCTTTCACAAGGTGGCGGACCAGAGGCTGGAATTATCATCAGACACCAGAGAGAGAGCTACAACTGCATAAAGACGTCTTCTATAAATACACACTGAGATACAGAAAAAGGTATACTGGTTTCATGTTGTGGACACATCAGGAAATATATTAATATCAAAGACATGCTTACATACTAGTCAAAAATAACTTAGGTTATGAAAGATAAAACATACAAAAACAGTACTTCTTGATGTAAAATGTCTATGTAACAGTTTTCCCTAAAAATATCTAGCATTGAGGTCTTCTTGTTTTCTGGTAATAGTCATAAAATGGAGGAAGGAGACATTTGAAAATGTGTGGACAGATAATGTCTGAGCTGCTCTGCCATCCCCTCCCTTCCTTGCTTGTGTTAGACTCTCCCCCGTCTCGGCAAGACCTCCTTCCCCCCCTTATAAGTTCTGGACAGCAGCACGCAGACGCAGGATGAGTCTATTCGGATCCACCTCCATCCCATCCTGTTGTTGGCGTCCTTGGAGAGGGCCCGGACATACGTCTGCCTCGATTTGCACACGCTCTTCCACTGTTTTGTATCCACGCCCAAGCAGCCGGCCCCAGCCACGCCCGTCCCCGCGGATCTTGACCCCCCTTCGCTCGTGATGCTTGACCTGCTGCGCTGATCGGCCTGGCGGCACCGGGTCTCGTAGAAGTACTGTTTGAGAGGTCCAGTCTGCGTCTGGATCTCCTGGAGGATGGTGACCTCCTTGCCGTAAGTGTCTATGGCGGTCGTTTTGTTGGTCACCCAAACGCTTTCCGAATCGCACACAGACTTCTCGCCCGTCCGGTTGTCCTTCTGGTGTGACCGCTTGTTGCGTTTAAAAGGACGGTCCTCGTCCTTTCTTCTGGAGTAGTTTGCCCAACTTGGAGTCGTCGTGCTTCGGTCGTTAGCTCGGTCGCCATGGCCCTCGATGCGCCCGTCCGCATCCTCCTGCTCCTCTAGTTCTCCGCCTTCCTCGTCCATAAGGCCATTCTCCAACATCAGCAGGAGCGGCGGATGCTCTGGAGGTGATGGAGAGGGCGAGAAAAGGACTCTGGGGTGAGCGTCCAGAAACATCTCATCTATCTCCAACAGGCTTTCCATCCCGACCCCCAGACCTAGCCCAGCCTCCAGGGTCAGACCGTCCTCAGCAGGAACCATTGTGGCTCCTGTACTGGATGTCGATGTGTCTCTTAGTTGCCCTGAAGGAAGCAATGGTGTACCCGTAGAGTCCTGTTGGGCCATTTTTTTTGAATCCTCCTTCCTGCTGGCTTTGTAGTCCTTTGGTAGAGACTTATCCTCCGGAGATTCCTCAGTCCTGAGTGGTTCCAGGCTGATTTTGTCCCTGCTGGCTGAGCTGCTAAAAGTTTTGTAGGCTATCTGATCCTCCCCTCTGGATGTGGAGGTCTCTCTATGAACTGAGAGATTAATGTAATCTTTTTGGCTTTTTCTGCTGCTGTCTGTGCGAGAGGCATTTCCTCCAAGGCCGTAGTCCAAAGACGGAGCCGGGAGGAAGGAGGCCGGGTCACGGCGGTGCTCTCTGCGGCTGCCTGAGCCGGGCTGCGTCGTCGCGGGGTTATGAGGGAAGGGCAGGGCCGAGGCGATCACCATGGCAACCAGGGGAAGCCAGTGCATCACTCCCAGGACGTATCAGCTGGCAGACAGAGAGGAGAGAAGGCGTTATTTCATACAGTGCAAACTGTAGCTTTTCTAGTTAAACAAAGAGCCCCAATTAAGAATGTAAAAAGAGGTTTTATAGGTGGCCCTGCAGCTTTATGGCTGCAGAGCTTCAACTGCTGACGTATGGGTTTAAAAATCTTGGCAGAACCTCTGGAAAAAGTAGAACCAAGTACAGAGAGATCGCACTTATTCTTCATGTGGAGCCCAGGAAGGAATGATGCAGAATCTGCTGAATTAGGAACTGACCTTCAAACAGAGATGCGGTGTGCATGCAAGTCAGTCATTACAGCTACAGAAGGTGGATTAAAGCAAACCCGAATCAAGAGGAAACAAATGACTGCTTTGATAATCTAGGGGTTAACTTTACCCTATAATAATAATAATTACTATTCAGTTTTTAAACAAATTTTTCTTCCTAAAGGTGATAAGAAACGTAGCATCTTTACCAAAATATCTGTGAGTATTTCCTTTGTATAATAGGGGCAGACTTTATACCAAAAATCCCTAAAGACATTAAAATGGAAAGTAAATATTATGGTTGTGAAGGAAATTTGACAGATGAGACCAACTGGGAAATATCTGGGTGAAAAAAAATAAACAGCAATCTGCATAACGACCAGACCACCTTCTGTTTGAAAAGGTAAACTCCTGACATATTTATCCAAGTTAGATTAAGGATGAGGCTCCTAAATGCAGCATTAAGTCTGCGACAAAATTACCCTAAACTGTAAATCTGGGACCTTTTCCAGAAACATTAAACATTTGGACCAAAGCTGGTAAAATATTCTTTTAGCTTAAGCGCAAAAGAAATAAACAAAACTTTCATGATTTAAACTAAGTGGTGAAATTTTTGAATTATTGTAGATCCCAAACATAAAAACAACCTCAGATTATTTAATTCTTGGAAGCCTGGGCAAAAATTCCCCCTCAGTGACGCTACAGACAGACAGTCACAAATAAATTATTAGTTATTACAAAGTTTTACATTAATTGTTCCAAAAACAAAGGAGTAACGTCAGCACCTTGCTGTCAGAATTAAGGAGTTGCAATGTAACAGGATTTTAATAACATCTATCAACAAGATATAGATAAGAGGAGATAAACCTCAGGTATCCTTCCTGAACTCACCCGGGGGTGATTTTTGTTCTTCTTTGGAAAGGTAATGACTGATAAATTAGATTGAGTTTCCCGTTATTAAGAGATGGAAACATAAATAACCTACATGCCATAACCTGCATTGTTTAAACTGCGAGCTGACTGTCATTCCAAACGAAATTAGATGTAAACTTCTCCTGAATGGGAAGAGACTTTTTAACCATTGGGAATCGTGTGTGAATGAAATCAAGAGTAATTAGGCATGCAGAGATGATTCATCCGAATTTCAGCGTGAGGTTGCCCTCTGACTAACAGGACAAGTGTTCCAGTCACCCCGTCCTTGTGGCAGTTAGAATGGGCTGGCATTCAGGCGACGCAGCAGCCGACGTAAGAGCGGATTTGGTTATTTGTTTGCGAGCAGAAAAGGCTGAAATCGGTGGAATGATGGGAATGTCAGCGATGCATAACTTAAGTGGCTCATTCATAGTTTCCTCGGGCATTTGGAAGACAAAAACATAAAAGAAGGCAAATGTGAAAATAAAAGGAAAAGACGTTTCATGACTGAGGGTGTTTATTTCCTTGCGGATGTTTGAGAGTGACTGAGTGGATGTTTCATCGCCGGCTTTTAGCAGAGAAAATCTCCCTCAGTGACGGGCCACGCCCAGAACACAACGCATCTTACAGTGGGGGAAGGACCAGGTTCGCTCCACTCATAAGTCACCCATCCAGTCACCTTGGGTGCTCCAAGTGCTTTTTAATGCTGACAGTAAATCACATCAAAGTGCTGCAGCGCCCTGAACGATGGCAGGAAAAGGAGCTTGCCAAATTTCTCCTGTGATGAAAGAAATATTTGCATGTCAAGACCAACTGTTGAAAACTGTTTAACAGTGTAGAAGCATGCAATTTGGATGGCTGTAAACCAGGGTTCCTACATTTTGCAGCTAGAAGTTTTTGCATTTTTCAAGTTTTTTCTTTTATAATTCTGGAAACAATATGAAAAATGACTGCCCAATAGGAAATATTTTTATTTCTTTTTTCTGATAAGGTCCACATATTATAGATGATTATTCGACTGCATGGTGACTTCTGTATAGTTACTATACAGAAGTCTATACTATAGTATAGTAACTTCTTCTACTATATGGTGACTGTCCTACGTCACAGTGGTTGGTTTGTTTACGCTATTTGTTAAAAAAATATAAAATTACAGTTCAAGATACTTATCCAAGATGATTTAAAAAAAAATGTGACTATGTTTTTTATATTATTTTGAAAAAGTGTATCTTTATATCATAGATTCATCTTAAAGGGAATTCTGATTCAGCTAGAAATTGTTAATTAGATTTAAATCTGTACTTTAACTAGGCCGTTTTCACATGTAAAGAAGCTTTTCTCTCATAAAATTTTAGAGCTGGAAGTTTGTTTACCATCAGCTGGAAGGTTAACTTTCTCTCCAGCTTATGTACTTTACAGCCACCTACAGTTTTGCTTTTACAAATTCTACCTGAATTTTTCTACATTTTTTTCCCCATCAAGTTAATCATCCTCTTCCTGCTTTTTTTATTATTTGAATGTTGTAAAAACATGCTGTAAAAGTTTTTTTTTCCACTTCTTTTTTGTATCTGGACTAAAAAATCAATAAACTCTAAGATATGATTACACCACACTATAAATATTCTTTAAAAGCAGAAGATGCTCGTTTTTTACTCCTGAAAGAGTTTGAAAAAGGAGAGAATTAACCCCTTTCTAAGTTTGTCAAAAGTATCGATACTCAAAAAAGTATCGATACTGAAACGTTGTATCCGGATACAATACTCATTTTCAAAAGTATCGATACAGCCATCGAAGGTGCAGAATAGTGGAAAATGCACTTTCTGAACACTGTGCGATTGAATAATTCTGTGCATTTTTCAGTTTCAGACTTTTTTTTTAACAGGTGCAGCTGCTGAGAATTATTTTTGCTTAACTGGTTTGGCTAGTGTCATTATTATGTCTGCAAAGCATAGCCAAGGAAGGAACAATTAATTTTAATTTTGTAAGTTTTTTATCAAGCTTGCTTAATACTGGGCACAGCATACAACCTCAAAATATTATTATTGTTTTTTATTTATTTATTGTATTTTTTTAATAGTGAAAATATTTCTGTTGAATTTTAGTGTCTTTTTTTTATCCTTGTGGTATCGAAAAGGGTATCGAATATTTTACTTAGTATCGGTATCGAGTTGAAAAGTTTAGTATCGTGACAACCCTACCCCTTTCAAATTTTCAATGTGTGCATTCATCAATTTACCTAATCAGCAACATTAAAATGAAATTAATCACTAAAGTCGGATAAAAACCCAGGATTCCCTTCAGTAAATCAGATTCAGATCACTTTATTTGCAGAAACATCTATGTAAAAAGTCTGTTTTCATTTCTTTCTCTCAAAAGATGGCTCTTGCTTTACATAAAGGATAAAGTCTGGAAGCTTTAATGACCATTTTTTGGGAGGGGGGACTGTTGGAACATGAGGGGAAAGTTCTGATCTAAAAAAAAGAGCAGAAAGGCAGGCTCTAGTAGGGAAGTGGTGTTTTGGTAGAATGCTACAGCACTTTCATCACCATTCGCTACAATGACACGCATCATTTGGCTGCGAAGCTAAACGACGTGCACGGCGTGCTTCCACCCCTTCTGGCTCAGGCGGCCTTTGTAATCTCCAAAATGTACAAATCTGGCTCTACTCATCTCATTCCTGATCTGCATATGTTTAATATTCTTTGAAATGAAGGAAAAAAATGTTGGGAAAAATGCCCCGAACAAACAAGCAGATCATCAAGCATAAATCCATGCCAACAGACTAAACTATGACTTAACCAGAAGGCTTAAATTAGCCTCAATGATTTTATCGTTTACCTTAGCACAGACAGATGACTGCAGAATAATTGGATGGATTGGATTTTTTTCTTTTTCTTAGTTTCAGGTGTTCAGAAACAGAAGTTGCAACTTTCTCTAACACTTTGCATTTAAACATTATTTTCTCTAACTCCTTCTTTAAGCCGTTGGCTTTTTGACAACTGTTTGTTTACTGTCTTTTGTATTGGTAATACTCACTTAAATAGCCATATTTATTTTACCGATACTAATCAAACAACACAATCTCATTGAAATTTCAAGACTATTCCAATTATTTGAAAACACATTTCAGGTGTTTTCCAGTTTTAACCACGTTATAAATATTTGGAGTAAAAAATATCTAATTTGAATATATCTTTTCATTGGAATAAAGAACAAAAATAACTTTGGTTTACCCTTATTGCCTATTTAAACATGCATAGAAACCATCTTGGAAGTGGTTTTGTTGCAGCCGTTTAACACATGGTGAAACTCACACCCTGCCGTGACTTCAGTGCACCTTGCAGTTAGTGTTGTACCGATGCCATTTTTGGCCCCGATACCGATACCCGATACCTGGCTGTGCAGTATTGGCTGATACCGATACCATACCAATACCATCTGTTTGAAATTGATGTGTGTGTGTCTATATGAAGAACTGCATACTACTTGGATGTAAAATAATTGCCATCATGGCGTCAAGCTGCTGCCTACCTTTGTGAAGTATTGCCTACCTGGAAAGGGGGACAATAGATGAATAATACCATTCTAAAAATGGTATCGGTACTCGCCGATACCATTATTTTAGTGCAGTATCGGTGCAACACTACTTACAACATGATTCATATTCATCAGCTTCCGCATGTTTTCATGGGATTCTACATTTTTTACCGACACAAAGTATTGCATAACTGATGAGCGTAGAGCTTTAAATTGATGCATTAACAAACATAAAAACGGAATGGGTTTTAATTCAACTCTCCTTAGTCACCATTTAGTAGAACCTACTTTCCTCGCAGCAACAGACGCAGATATCTTAGGATTCATCTCTACTATCTTTATTAATTTTTACAAACTGACATTTGTTCCCCTCCTTTTCTGCTTCATAGTTCCAGCTCTGTTACATTGGATCAGTCACATGTGTATTTTTGTGGTCTTGCTACAGATGAATAGCTGAACTCTAAACTGGACTCACATTATTTTGCACTACCAATGTTGCTAAACTTAATCCTTTTAAATAGGACACACTCAATGTTCTACTGCATTTTGCACCATATTTGTTTATGCACTTAACTGAACGTTTTCATATTAATATCCTTTTGTACCATTTTAAAAAATTGGTTTGGTTTTTTTCCTACATTGTTTACATCCTGATCACTGCTGCACTTTATATTGGTAATGTTTATCTTCTCCAACTGTAATATCAGACTGTTGCATGGCTGTATGCAACAAAACTTTGTATACACTCTGTGCATAAAAAACGACAATAAAGTTTGTCTAAGTCTAAGATTTTGACGACTATTCCGAGGAATCGTGCATTGATTCCCAGGTACTTCCATGATCCCCATGAATTTGTTCCTTACACCTTCTAATCAACTCTGACTAGCTGAAGAAAAGCATCCCCACAGCATGATGCTGCCAACGCTTTGTTTTGCCCTGAGGGTTTTGCGTTTCCAATTATGTAAAGTTAGTTCGTTTTCCGCCTCATGTTGTGTCAACTTGTAGAACAACAGTCAATTGTGACCATATCAGCTCAGAGCATGTACGGTTTCAACATGGCTTCCTTCCTGCCACCTATCATTGAAGGCCAGATTAAAAAAGGGCTTTATATTTATTCCTCGGACAGATTCTTCTAACCTGAGCTGTGGAGTCATTTTATGGTTACCACCAGCCTCTTGGCTGCTCCTCTGATAAATGCTCCTCTTTGTATGTCAGATAAGGTTTGGTAGGTTTACCGTTGCACCATATTCTTCACAATTTCACCTGATTTACTAGATTAAATTACAGAACTGCTGATTCTTTATGGAAATTTAAAACTGGATGGTAGCACTGGAATTTATTTATGGTTATGAGTGTAGAAAGAGGGTATAAAAGCACCAAACTTTTACAATTTTTCTTAAGGAGAAAAACTTTGGAACCCTTGCATCATGATCTTCCAACTTTACAGCTATGCACTATCCTTAAGAAAATAAATCGTGATAAAACTCATTGAAATTTGTGGCTGTGGCGTGACAATACATGGAAAAGGTCAACTGGTATGAATAGTTTTTGCAAAGCGCTGTAAGTAAAGGTAATTAGGAGGGATTATGGTGCAGAGAACCAGCTAACAGATGCCCTAAAGCAGGTCCGCACCTGGCAGAAGCTACTGTGCTTATTAGCCTGTTTACAGAGTAATCCCCCTCCTCATGCGTGGCTAATGTCAGCCTGACAGGGAGATAATGCACTGTGTGTTAGTGTTGGGACTGCGCCCCATCCTGTACTAATCTGGACTCTTTGATGTTGTGCAACTCAGGGAGCTGCAGGAGAGTAAAGCTGCCTGGAGCAGCGAGTTCCTCTTAAAGCTGGAGAAACTAAAAATCAAACGGCCAGAGATGATTGATTGATTGATTGGTTTTTCCCCCCTGACATGTTAAACATGTGAAATTCTGAAAAATCTGCATGTTTTCCTTTTTATTTCAAAACTAAGAAATCCCCTCATTTATGATCAAGAAACTGATAAATCTACAGGATCTAATGAATACCCTGTATATTCTAGCAAATACTGTAACACCTTTAGATTTTAAATGACTATTTAAGCAAAGCAGCAACAGCTCCTTTCTTTTCTCTTTTCTTTTCAATAGAAGAGGAATTTAAAAGAATACAATTTATGGAAACCTGCTGCTGACATTTAAGCTTCAAATGCTTGACAGGTGATTCACTGACTGTACAAGCCCCTCAAAGGTTGTGGTTCTGAGAACTCCCGGGCGTGAGCTACCTAAACAAATCCAACAACTTTGTTTTCAGTTTAGTTCCAACTAAACTATACCTGATTTGCAGAAAAAAAGAGGACCAACCGGAAAAGGTCTTTGAATGTGAATGTGAAAAGCACAACCATAGATTTGCTTCAATGATCTGTGGGGTTTATTCATAAAATGCTGTGTGTCATTAGTCATTCCAAAAAACAAACAAAAAAAAAACTTCCAAGTTTGAAGATGTTTCGCTTCCCATCCAGGAAGCGTTTTCAATTCAAAACTTGGAAACAAAGTCCAGCGGATAGTTTTTTTTTACTTTATTTGGAATGAGTTAGAATCTTCTCCAGCATATGTGTATCATTAGAAAAAGAATGCAAGCAAATCAACTTTTCACTGAAAACAAACAAAAAAATAAAAAAATTTATCTAACCACTAAAGCAGAAAAATTTCCTGAATATGCATAATTTCAATTTCAGTTAAGGGGGAGATTTTTTAAAAGTATTTAAAAAATCTAAATCAGACAGGGCCTAAAAAAAACTGATCTCTGCACTTATGCAAAAAAAAAAAAATAAAAAAAAAATGCATGTTTCAGCAGTTTGATTAAGTAACATGGAAAAACATCCAGGTTAATGTTTGTCTTCACAGGAGCTCATTTACTGCGGCCTTGCTGTCCCGCCGTGCAAACATCCCATTAATTCAACTCTGATTGTTTCAATCCATGCAACCCCCCCCTTTCCAACCAATCTCAAACTACATAAAGGGGAAAAACTTTCTCCTTCTCTGTTCTCACTTGCATTTTTCGCTGAACCCATGATACCACCCACAGCGTCAGCTCGCTCCTTTATCTTGTTGACAACACAGAGTTAAAGCATCAACACACCGTGTGTGTGTGATCTACCTGCGGGTTGGGCTGGGACTCGGTAGCTCTCACCTCACTTGAGTGACTGCCAAGGAAAACAAAATTTGGAGCAGCTTACAAGCGCAGGATTGCCAAGGTATATGTCAAAAATAAGCAGGATAACTACCTGGAACCTCAACAAAGACCCCAGAGCGCGTTAATGGGAATAAAACACGCGCGATGCGCTTAAGTGTGAGCGCGCGCCTGTGTTTACATGTCAGAAAGTAAACTTTATGAAAACCAAATATGCATGTTTGGATATTTTATCATTGTTTTTATTCTAAAAATAAATAAATAAATGAAATGAAATAAAAGTGTGCGAAAAAAGTAAGGATTTCTAACCGTTTAGGTGAGATCCGGACCCCTCGTCCTTCCAGCTGACACCACATTGATTATAAAGTCCTGTCCTCAGCAGCTCAACTGGTTTCTTGGAGGAAAAAAAAAATGAAAATAAAATAAACTCAAAAACAACTTTCACTGGGAACCATTGGATAAGAAATCAAACATTTCTTTCTTCTTTTATTACTCCGTGACATCGCATGCATGGAAAGAAACCCGGGAGCAAGAATAAAAAATAAGTAAAATGAGCGCAGTTTTAAGAAACTAGAAGATTCCTTTCCTGCCCAGTGAGCGCTTCCACTAAAAGGAGAAAAAAAGCCATGTAAAAAGTTTAAAAAGTGTAACTGAGGCCTGATATATTCCAATATGTTGGTCCTCCGTTTCTGAGAAAGAGTGTTTCAGTTCAAATAGGTGAGCGAGTGGAGCTGGGAAGAAGTTAGCTTAATGTTTTATGGCTCTAAACTCCGCCTGAAACCTTAGCGTAGGTTAACAAACCCTCTTCCTGTTCAGAAATGATTTCAATAAAAACCTGCAGAAGGAGGGTGACCGCGGGGCTTTTATTTTGAAGAGTAAGAAGGTACTTCCGGGGATACCACACTCTAGCTTGACCAAACCAACATTTTTTGGGGGGGTGTGCAGACACGAAGCCAGGCTTGCAAGTATGGGAGTGTACATTAAACAGAGCAGACAACACAATTTATGTAAACGTGGATATTTAAATACAAAAATTAGTATCAAATGTCCACCTTTAGGATCCTTTACTGTTTAATTTTAGTTTTTCTTCACCAAAGCTATTAAAAAATTGACAAACTCAGATTTTTTTAAATCAAGTTTAAAAAGTTTTCTTTTCAATGTAAGGTTTCTATACATTTACCCAGATACCTCAATTAGAGGATTAAAGCTCTAGAATTGGGGTGTCTAATGAATGGTTTGGCCCCACAGCAAAGGTATTTGATACAGATTGATGTTTTTTTATTATTTTTAATTAGGTTAAACTTGAGCAAAAATTTAAAGTCTTTTGACAAAGGAAGGTAATTTTAAGTTAACTAATAATTTATTGACCGATCAGGCTTTTGCAGTTGTAGCCCTAAACTCTGCACCAGCCTGTCACTTAAGTTCCATTTAAAAATGTTTTAATTGTTTTTAATTCAAGCTCATTTTTGGTTAAATCAGGTCTTTCATTATGTGCTGTCTTCTTGTTAAGCTGTTATAAATTGCACTCCATTTTCTCCTCATTTACCATATTTTACTTTTACAATTTCTTAACTGATACATTTTAATCTTGTGAAGCACATTAGGCAACATTCTTTCTTTTTAAAAGTGCTATATAAATAAAATTCGCAACAACATACTGATAACCAAACCTTTGTCTAGTAGGAACAGATCTATGCCATGAATTTTACTCCAAAGTAGACTTTATTGCATTCAAATCTCCTTTTATGTTTCTTTTATTAAACCAAGCTGAATACAGCATGTGTTTGTTATGTAAAAACTGACTAACATCTTGTTCCTTTTGCTTAGAAAACCGAGTCCAAAAGAATGGAGTCTGTTTACGTTGTGGATATGTAGTGAAATAATCTGTAATGACTTTACCATCTATTTCAAACAAATCTGTGAAGATTGTTAAATTGAAATATTGCATGCTTAGATTTTGTTGAGCATGTTAAGCAGATTTAGGATAAATTTCTTTGTGTTTTTTTTTTTTTTTGGCAGTATATTGGACATGGACACCTCTGCTGTGGATTCCTCGTTACTTGACAAGGCCGACCCCATTAACATCTTATTTGCAATCATACATATATGTTGCAAAAGTGCAGTATATATAGATGTTTTTAAAAGGGATTGGGGTACAAGAAAACCAAGGGAACACACTGGAGCATATGTGTTAGCCTTAAGGAGGAGAATTGTTAATTAACACAATATAGGAAAGTCTCTGAGATCCATTTATAAAGGTCTATATAATCCAAGATCTCAATCTAGACAATAAAAAAAAAACACAAACAAAAAACAAGTTGTTTAGATCAACTTCAATTGTTCTAGAGGGATGAGCCAGCAGTCTACCTCAGATAATAGGATAAATTCTAATACCAGTATCTATGTTCATTATGAAGATGGTTGGCCATCACCAAGGAGACACCAAAAACAAAAAATGCTTAAAATTAGACATTTTTACATTTCACTGAAGTTCAGAATTGTCCAGGTGGAGAAACCCAAGGTCCTCAGGAAAAAAACAACGTCTTTAGCTATTTGGCCACAGTGAAACCAAGAATTTTCAGACGAACCAAAATGAGGTCTTTAAACCTAACAACAAGCTCAATTCAGCTTGGATTGATTTAAGAAAGAAAATAAACACTGGAAAAACGATCTAGAAATAAGTAAACATTTCTCAAATTAAGTGCATTTACCCTTAATTTGAGTAGGTAAATGAGATGATGTGCCAATGAAATGAGTATTTTTACTCTTAAAATAAGATATTTAGATAAAATGCACTTGAAATAAGACAATGTAATTGTGTTTTATAATTCTAAATGTAAATTGTCTTGTTCCATTGGCAAAATGTGTCTTTTACCCTCTCAATTAAAAAACAAAGGTACTTATTTTAAGAAATAACGACTTATCTAGATTTAGATTTTTCCCAGTGAATAATTAGAGATCAAGTACGTCCGTGTTTCAGTCAAGCACGGTGGTGGCAGCATCATGTTGAGGGGTTGTTTTCTTGCCCCAGGGTATTAGTACATTCCATAACCTGGGTGGAGTAGTGAAAATGGCGGCACTACCTCCAAATTCTTTCATTTTACAAATCAATCAGTAGGCAGTTAGAAAATGGACACGTTTGGGGCTTCCTGAACAATGGTCACAGACAAAATAGGCGAGCATTAAATTTATGAAAGGCCTTTCCAAATTCCAAGCTAGTAACAATTCAAAAATGTAGAATTGATACCATTATGTTGGTTATGTGTAAGGACAGACAAACATATATTATTTCAACAAATCCACACAGAATAGGGGCAGAGCAGTTTGTGAATTCACTCAAATATTAACAGTTATGTGTGGAATATTGATTGGAATGTATTAAAGTGCAATCATTTCTTAAATACATCTTGGATGTATGTAAACTTCTGACTGAAACTGTGAGAAAAAAAAAAGTATGACAATAAAGGCTTTTTATTTTATTTAAATTAAATGTTAGCAGGATTTTTTAATGTTTTTTGCACTATTCCCCTTAAAACTTCAATAGAAAGCTGTGAAACACAGCGACCACCGAAGCAGTCCTGGAATTCATCCAAGAACATTTAAATTTTATATGATCTTGTGTTGAAGAACTTATTTCAAACAAGTTGTAGCAAAACTTGAAGGCCTCTTTCATTAAGGTTCCCATCTGCAAGTCTAGGAAGCTGCAACATGATTCCTTTTGGCACAAGCAGACCTGAGGATGTAACCTTGATTTTGATGCCAAACCCCTGCCTGCGTGCAGATTGCTTCCTGATTGCTCCTGCCAGATTTTCATAAGATCTGAAAGATTTAACATGTGGTATACAGGTGAATTTTTGACTTTAACAATAAAGAAAGACCTGCTCAAGAAGGAAGAAATATCTAATGGGAAAAAAAAAAACATATAGTGAGAATTTACATTGACTTTTGACCTTTTGAAAAATGCACCGTAAATCCATGCGTTAATTATATTAGTTTTGCACATAACACAAATTAGATGCTGGCTCCTTATTGCACACTTGATTCCTATTCATGAGTTATTAAACTCATATGTATGTCTTAAAACTACAAAGATCCTTATTAAACCAGATATAAAAACACTGTAAAGTGGTTTGTTTTTAATCTCCTGCATGTTATCAGGACTAAGACATGCTTTTCTCACACATCTGTATTTGTGATTCTGATCAGATCAGTATTCCATGCATGTTTGTTTTTGTTTGTAGCCTAACAGATGTTAATACCCTAGCTATATACCTTTTTTTTTAAATACAACGACTTTGGCAGTTTTCTATAATAGGGTACATAAATATTCTAAAGAGAATAGTGTTGGCAGCATTATGCTGTGGGGCTTTTATAAAAATGAGGACTCCTACAATCAACAGATAAATGACAACAACAAACAGAGTTTGTTTTTTTCAGAAATCCAGGGGAGGCGACCAAACAGCTGTTAAGCATGGTTGTGGCAGCATCATGCTATGGGTTGTTTTTATTTCGGCTATTGTTTTTTGTGCATTACAGTGAAGTGGGAATACCTTCAAATTATTCAACCTCGCTTAAGATTAAAGGTGAAACCAGGAGATAGGTGTTCCAACAGGACACCATCCCAAACAAACATCCAATTTGCTTCTTATGTGCTTTAGTAAGGGACATATTCATTTAGATCCAGGAATTGCTTGTTCTGTGTTTACCCCATAATGGAAATTTATCTAAACAACCACTGCAGCCAATTGGATCAGGCACGAATATTCATCAGGAATGAACCAGATGGGTAATTATAAAAACTTCTTGTTCCCACAGAAGGTCCATGTACACTGCACCTGGTTCTGCAGGAGGTTTCTTCCGATTAAAGGCATTTATGCATGCCTGTATGCTCATTTGGAGTCCATTTGTGTACAAATGTTGTTGTCCACTTTTATGAAAGGAACATATATAGATACAGTCATTAAGACATTGTAAGTGACTGTCCACCATGGCTAAATTCTCAGCGAGGAGGAGTAAATGCTAGCCAGACGTAGCCCGACTCAATTCTAGTCAGAAT